AATAGTCATCCCCTAGGGGGCTATGCTGCAATCTCTTTTCCTCCATTCTCCTCTTAGGTTTTTGGGCACACATGCACATGTGCCCAGCATGATTTTCAAGCTCCCAGGTCTGAAACTTGAATCACAGTCAGCCATGTGGGAAACCAGCACCTTAGCCACCATGCCACCTGGTGGCTCCAAAACCCATTCTTAATTTTTTAAAAGTAAACCAGGGACCCAGCAGTTAGCGTAATGGCTATGTCGCTGGACTCCCACGTAGTCAACCGCGGTTCGCGTCCTGGACCCGGTGGCTTAAAACTCACGCCGGGCGCGTGTGCGTGCGTGCCCAAGATCCCGAGAGGAGAATGGAGGAGAAGGGATTGCGGCGTGACCATCCCCTCTGGGGGGTGATTTCTCGCTTTCTGTCTCTATGTCTCTCTCTGTCTGTCTGGCGAGCACACGCGCCCTATAGTGAAAATCTCTCAAAAAAAAAACAAAAAAGCAAAAAGTAAAGCACAAAATAAATCCAAGAATACTATAGAAATCATGACTACAGAAGACGAAGAAACTAAACATAGGTATCCAGAAGAAATTAAGACCATACTTTCCACAATTCAAAGCAAATCAATTTGGAAAAAAAGCCTCAATGAAAGGGATGCTCTTTCTAGAAAAATGACAAATTATAAAAAAGTAATGAGAGAGAGAAGAAAAACAGCCAGAGAAAGATACCAGAGAAGTAAATATTCCTCAGGAGAACAAAAAAATCCAAGCTCAGCTGTATCTATCAAATTCTTTTAGATCTCTGCAGAACAGATTCCCTTTGTTATTTAAATTTTTCTTTCAAAGAAAGAATATTCTTTTGGGATTATTTGAGAAAGTCTTGTTTTCACAAAGTGGCTTAATAATTCCTGTTGTGTCATTTAGCTGGGATGTATATTCCAAAACCACAGCAATATTTCATCTTGATGTTTAAATGCTCACAGCTCACAGGAAATGAAATACAAATGGCTCAAATATATACCCAACTTTATTCTTAAGTGAAAATACAAAATCCCACCAAAATTAAAGTATCAGCTTTCAACTAACAGATGTGCAAAGATCAAGACGCTTTGATATCATTATTTATAAAGATTCAGGAAAGGCTAGCCAGTGCCGTGGTGGTTAAGGCAGCTGGAGTGCACATTTCCGACAGCGTGGAGTCCTGGACCTGGGACACTGGAAAAAGTGCGGGGTATGTGTATGTGTGTGCCCAAAAATCCCAAGGAAAGAATGGAAGTGAGGGACTGCAGCATGGCCATCCCCAAAGGGGGATATCTCACTTTCCCTTTCCTTTTCTCCCTCTTTGATGAGCACAAGCACCCTACAGCAAACTGAAAAAACCGGAGATGAAGGAAGTAGGTACTCTTGGGCACTGCTGGTGCCACTGTAAGTCAGCTAATCCTTACAGAAGCAATGTGCCGATATTTATCAAAATAAAAATGTACAAATCTTCTGACTCAGCAGTTCTAATTTTAGATTTTATTTATAGTCACTGACTCAGTGCAACAAAGACTTACGTAAAAAGTTATAACATAAAGCATTATTTATAAGGCCAAAATACTGAAAAGAATGAAAATGTCGGTAAGGATTGTTCAAATATATTACGGTACATTCACATGATGAAATCTGCAATTCCAAAAAAAAATGAGAATCACGGGCCAGTCCTGTATGCAGCAGTCCACCACTTTGTACATAAAGCCACATGGCCAACAAGGGTTTGCGTCCAGGGCCCCAACGGCTTGAAAATCACACTGGGTACATGCCCTAGGGTATGCTCGGGATCCTGACAGGAAGGAGACATGTAGGAAAAATGACTGGTGTAACCATGCCCTGGTGATGTCATGCAACCTCTAGCAACTGAAAGAAAAAATCACAGAGGGGGGGCTCACGCCCCTCCTCAGCGCAGCCGCGCGCCGGGAACGGCCTGGCCGGCGCCCCCCCACTCCGGGGGGAGCGCCACGCG